GCGGCGCAGGAAAGTGCATCGCTGTTTCATCATCGACGGGCCAGATGGCACTGGTCAAACATTCCCGAACCCTACGCTCATTCACGCATTGCGTGGCCCCCGTCTCAAAGGAGCGTTGCGTGGCATATGGCAAGCTTTGCCTCGTCGTCTTTAACATGCGTATACGCTCCACCGTGAACTGTCGATCGCATGTCGGCAGCAGGAATCTGGCTACGACTGCTCTTACTGCATCGGCAAAAAAGGGTATCATCGCAGTTGGTGCTCTACCCTTTCACTTTTCGGTGCCCACGGGGTACGACCCGACCTCGTAGAGTCAGGTTTCTCGATGTCCGTCTCTGGGTGTCTCGATCGTAGGATTAATATTCTCGTCGGTGCTCTATGTTGGTTCCGTCCGCACTACTCGCTGCCAACTAGATTTCCGTCTATCCGTACGCAAATCGTGAACGTGAGAAAGATGTTGGTCCGTGAGTTGTATGCAATTGTTTCGAGCGAAGGGAATACCGTTCGGTTCCTTCGAGATCGAGGGCTTCTTGCCGATGAAGAAAAGTTCGACGAGTGTCGGAGTCCGATGCAGGAAACCGTTAGGTAGAAAACGCTGGCCGACGGGACGACTCGGGAATACGAGATGCGGAGATTCAAGAAAAAAGGCCGTCAGACGACGAAGTCGGTGCGGCGAAGAATGCCATCACGGATCGGTATGACGCGTGCCGCGAAGTTTGCGCTCTTCCCTTTCGGGATGCACCTGCAATGGGCGGTGTCGGTCGCATCATTCGGATCGACGAAAGTCTTTTACGTGGCCGTCGCGAGGCACGCAAAGGTCGTATGCCGACTGGCGATGCCCCACCACAGGAAGTGCTAATGATGATGAAAGGGACCAGCGTCGACCGAGTTATTCGGCAGAAGCATGGTGGCGATCTCTTCACGGAGGATCTGCCGTTTTCGAAAACTTTCTCGGCAGTATTTTAGAGATGTCTATATGTAACGGCTGACTTCATTTGTTTCACTGAAAGAGGGAAAAGAAAGTGATGAAGTCGGTAGAGCACCTACTGCGACGATACCAAAAAGGGTCATACGTACTCGGACCAAAGGCCGTTAGTCGAGAAGTATATATGCTCGGTCGTGGTTACTTAAACGAGCGACGGGACTCGACAGTCGCAGCGAAACGGCGTTTGGTTGGGAATTCCCCGATTCTTATCGCTAGGATGGAATGGGAAGGTAGTCTAGAGGCAGATGTTTGTCGAGAGGGAAGGGGGTGGTGAGGCCCAACGGTCTAGCTGGAGGCGATGCGACAAGGTTATATAAGAGCTACGGGACGCAGGCATTTCATGCATTCCTTGTCTCCTTTCTCATAGCATCGACTAAGTTGCCTCTGTTAGCCATATATCGATGGTGAATACTGGGTTTTCGCTAATTGTTGTCGGGAATGAGTAGGATTTTTGCCACCTCATAAGCATAAGACTCATTCTGACGAGCATACTCAATGAAGGACGTTTAGGGAACTTTTGAAAAGGTTCATTTCTTTGATCATCCGCTGCAGCACTATTAGGCTCCATTTTCTTGGTGCAAGTGTGAGTTAACGATATTGAATCAGTTGAGTACACGAGGAAGAGTGCATACGACTCATTGACTGGTTTCAGCTCGGCTAATGGTTATACGATGGAGGGGCTTCATGCAGTTCTTCCCTGTCATCGACAACAAGTGAACCGAAGAACGTGACCCGTTTCGAAGTTGAAAGAAATGGTCACATTTCTTTCAACTTCAAATGGTCACACGACACGCTGGAAAGAACAATTGTTCACCTGTCAACAGGCGACTGTGCTGCATTTGGCATACTGTGACTAGTGTCAGTTGGAAAGACCAAAACTCGTTGCTGGAAAATAAAATATCCGTTCGAGCTACCTAATGAAAAGTCTCCAGGAAAAGGCCGTTCAGGTGGGGATCCTTTCGTCTGGGCTCGGTCTATCGAGAATGTCTACTGTGAGATCATGGAAACACCTGAAACTGGCATATGTCATGCGCCTTTCACCTTTCGAACGAGGATACAAAGAAGACGCTGACGATCAGCTTCTGTGGTGAACTGATGAAGCATGCCTTACCCTCACTACCTGGGGATCACACCGGACCGAACTCTCACCTACCAACAACATCTCAAACTGGTGAGCAACGAAACGAAGAGCCGCATCGACATCATCCACGAGCTAGCTGGAACAAGATGGGGATGCGATGCCCGAACCCTCCGAACAGCGACACCGGCCTTGGTGTACTCCGCGGTCGAGTACTGTTCACCGGTGTGGGCCCGAAGCTCACACGCTGGTCGCCACGCATCTCCTCGCATCCATGCGTGCCATCATCGGAACCGTGAAAGCGACCCCACCGCCTTGACGTCCTGTATTCGCCAACATCGCTCCGCCATCCATCAGGCGACACTACGAGAGCACAACAAAGCACTCTCAAACGCATCAGTTCCGCTCCACGACGACACCAGCCGACCACCACGCGTAAGTCCCGCAGACCATTATGGACTGCAGGTGGAACACTCCTGTCCGGATGAACAGTGGCGAACGCTATGGAACGACGCCGACGTTTCCAGGAAAACGAGAGCCTCATCTTGGACCTTACATCCGAACCTCCTGGTTTCTTGCTTCGACGCAGACATTGGAGCGCCATTAACCGTATTAGAACTTCACACGGTCGGTGTGCATATCGTTTGTACAAGTGGCGTATTAAAGACTCACCACTATGCAGTGGCTAAAATAACGAGATTTTATCACAGCACACATTCTTTTTCCATGCCTTTTTAAATTTTACTATCACTGCGCATGCATGAAGCGAGAAAGCATCTGCATCGGTGCCGCCCAGCCGTGGCCTCCTCGAGGACACCCCTCGGCCATTTCTGTTCGTACTTGGTAGGTCCCTCGTCTTGCTTCCGAAGGCCGGAGTCTGACTGCTAGACGAATGTCATACCACCATTTCACATAAATGTTGTGAATTGAAATTCTTTCCGACCTCATGACTTTTGGGTCACAAAATTTCCGATATTTTGTTTCATCCACACGCCGTGTGGGTAGGCTTGTAGCGGATTCGAAAGTCCCATGTTCGCCTGGTGCATGCCTCTGATGTGAGCACATGACCACTTCCTTTTATACGCTATATATCGTTCCGTGTATTGTCCAATTAATTTATGTTAAGCATTATTAGCACCCTTGACATTTTGGAACATAATCAAAGGGCAGTGATCTCCTCGAGTCAGGGACCGGAAACTTTTTGGCCTTGTGAGCCATATTAAGATTCAGTTTCATTCTCCTTAGCCAAAGATTTTTTATTAGCACCCTTGACATTTTGGAACATAATCAAAGGGCAGTGATCTCCTCGAGTCAGGGGCCGGAAACTTTTTGGCCTTGTGAGCCATATTAAGATTCAGTTTCATTCTCCTTAGCCAAAGATTTTCGAAGCAGAATTTTCCCTGAATTTGACGACAAACATATGCATTCTTTGATAAGTGAGAAATATGAGCAACCATGATTTTTAGCCATGACACGTGAGCCAAATTTGGCTCATGGGCCATAGGTTCCCGACCCCTCAGAATTTTCCCCGAATTTGACGACAAACATATGCATTCTTTGATAAGTGAGAAATATGAGCAACCATGATTTTTAGCCATGACACGTGAGCCAAATTTGGCTCATGGGCCATAGGTTCCCGACCCCGGCCTGAAGCATCCCTGGTTTCCTTATTGGAATTAATATATAAGATTCACCTCTGGCTATGGCTAACAGTACACAATAAAATATACTTATTAACCTCTGTTGCAAAAATATTAGCCGATGGGAAATCCAAAATGCAAATGGGTAGTTGAATAATGCGCAAACAAAGGATAGAGGAAACTACCGGATAGTGAATTTACATTTTGCCACTGAAACAATATAGTCACACGCAAACATGCACGCGCACACACACATTAGTATTTTCAGCTTGTTTTCAGAAGAGTTAATTGTAAAGGAATGCAATCATAACCATACGCTTTAGTAGAAACATGTTCACGCATGTACAGTGGAGACTATATAAGAAGCCCTCGCATTGTGCATGAGTGACGCATGCGCACTAGGTGGTACACTCATCAGCTCAAACAAGTGGTGCGGTGTCATTTGGCTCTCAATTCCTAAGGAGTTTTTCTTTTGTTAAATCAGTTTTAAATATTGTTAGCAGTATTTAATAGCAATTACAATAAAAATTTGTTAAGCACCCATTTTTATTCATCACTGCCCAAAGTGTGTATCACAGCACGCTATTTCAGTCACTGCCACTGTGTGAATGTGGCGAAATTGAAACCGTGGAGCATATTGTCAACGACTGCCCCATATACATCTTCCGTGGTGGTACTACCGAATTACATCATGCAACACTGGAAGCCATCGATTGGATCTCAACACTCCCAATTATCTTAATTTATTTCTCAATGTATAAGCTCACAAAGTTGCTATTTTCCATACGAAAAAGACTGGCACATGTCGGAACGGACTATCCCCCCCGACGTCACAACGTGACGGTCCTGGGATCAAGAAGCGCGCCATGTGGGCGGTGACGCCACGTGCTCGCGAGGTACGAGTCCGTTCAAGAGAATATACCGATCGGCTGAACTGACCCATGCTTCAAACTTTTCGACAGACTTTCCACTGGAGTGTCCGTTCTTCCTCGGCTTTTTCAGTGTGTTTTTGAATAGTTCCACACGTTCAGCCTGACGTTGAACCCGATACGTTTGTCAAACTTCTCAGACGTTAAGTTTGTGAGGCCTGAAGGTGTGCAGGCCGTGCTTATAGCCTATGTCAGGACCAACAAACGGATTTTTCCCGCTCCGTCTCTTTTAGCACTTCTTTCTTTTATTTTTTTTTTAGAGGGATCGTTGCCATGTAGCCGATTCAAATGGAATCTCAGGAGGAATGCAGTTTCTCGTGCTGCTACTACCTTGTTTGTTTTTTCCCTGGGCACTTTGATGCATCACGATGGCAGTGAGCTTAGCACTCTGAAGGACGGAAAAGAAAGGTTAGATGAATGCAAACTGGCTTGGATGAGGCGTGTACTTTACTTACTTTCTTTCACCTCTTAAGTTTGGTCAGGAGTTCCAAAACATATGCCTAGGCTAATTGCAGCATGATACCCAAAATAATATTTATCCTGTAAATGCAGCCTCATCCTTCTGCAATTAGTTTAGGTAAAGGTTCAGAGTTGATCTTGGTTTGCCCTTCCTTGGAATCAATATGTGGACCATGACTGCCTGCTGAACTTTGCCAGATTGTGTGCAATTGTGTCCCTGCTCACATATTACTTCTTCACTTAAAATTCCTCATGTTACATTTGCTTGGGCCCAAGCTTCCATTGTGAACCTGATTTGGTAATGCTTTAAATCTCATTCCAAAGTTGCCTTCTAAGTTCATGATGAGAAGTGATGTAAATCATGACATTTATGGAACTAGAAGCAATTGAAAAGAAAATGGAAAGTATCAGAGTGATGATGTAGCTCAATTTATAATCAAGAATAAATATTCTTTCTGAGTCAGATTTTGATTATATTCCTCAAGTGGCTTTCTAAAGGTTTTTAACCCTTCAATACCTTCTTCATCGAGTGAATTCTCTAGAATCTTGAGACTCATGTTTTCAGCTTGATGGTTTTCCTTAGCGTAACGAAATCCCATCGATTCCCCGTGACTGTACAGCATGTACTATACATAATGTGAGCACTTCCTTTTGATGATGACTGAAGCAATTCAAATTCAAATTCATAAATGGATTGGATGTGTTGCTTGGTTATCTCTGTACAGCTATGGTGTGATTCACTTGACTCAGACACAAGCTCAAGTGTCCAAGTTGAGTGAAATATTGCAACTCAAGTGAAATAAAACTCCATTACCACCATATACTTGTGCATCTGGAAGTGAGTTGGTCTCCCGCATTCACCTTAATACTAATGGACATAATGTGAATGGGATTTATTTATAATTGACTTTGATTCCCATCTGTGAAAGAATCTGCAGGTAATTCCCTTCAAGGTGTTCAAATGTTACATATGTTCCTTTAATGGTCTGTTTGTGTTGTAAAATAGAGAAGGAAGAGGAATAGATGGAGGAATTTTGTTTTTATTCTGGAACCAGAATGACAATCTTGATCAGCCTGTCTTTTTCAATTTTTTTGCTGAGCTGCTACATAAAGAAAAAAGGCAATAAATGTAATCCTTTCCTTCAAGCAATGAAGCTGTCATCGATTGGAGAAATGCCACTTGGAGGAGGTTCAAATTGGTGCATTTGCTCTCCTACCTTCCTTTGGCAGGCCTGGCAAGATAATGAGTAGTGATGAGAGCTGCTTTTGATGAGTAAGACTCATTCAGTGTGTGTCTCTTATAGGTATGATGATAATTCAAAGTGAAGCTATATTGTTATATTTCCTTTTCCATGGGGAGTGGAGATAAAACAGCAGAGGTTATATGTTGGAGTAGTCCAAAAATGTTTACTTTTTACTAATATTTATAGTTTTATGACACTTCCACCTACATAGCATAATTGTCTTCACCCACATTAACTTTTTTTTATTGCTCCATCAGTTTCTTAACCTCAGCAGGAAATCATTCTTCAAGACTAATTTTTACCAATTGGCATACAACTCATACAAGGGCAGTCTTTAAGCTGATTTTTCTTTCCTGAACTAATGGTTTAATTTCTGGGAGAACATGTCAGATGGGAATATGTTTACTGTTAGTTGACAAACTAGAATTCCCAGCCAAGGGCAAGGGTTGCCCTGTTGGAGGCATTAACAGTATGAGGATGACATTGTCTTGTTACCATCCCATGCCTTTGGATATGAAGTCACTTTGTTTTCCAATGTGACTCATTTAATCCTGTTCAACATCATTTACTGTATCAGTCCCTATAGACTGCCCTTGTATAATCTTCAAGCCAGATTGTAAAAGTTCCTCATGTCTACTTCTGGAATTAAGAAACCAGTGGAGCAATCGAAGAAGTCTGTAATGGTTAAGGATTTTTATGTTGAAAAGGTGGTCTTGGAATATTGAAGGATTAGCTATTTGTATTAGGTTTTTGAATGTCCAAGAGCTTTTCTACCTCCCTCCACCCCCTTGTGAAGGATGTGGGACCAGGCTTGGCATGCCCCCTAGCCACTTCACTGAGAAGTAGTGGTAATACCCTCCACCACTAGATGTCATTCTTGGACTTTCTGGAAGAAGTATGCTGTTATAACATACCCCACCTATTTGTGCAGTGAAATGATCATATGTGGATTTCAGTATAAATTACTTTATTGTTTAAATTAGTAAACTGTCTATTGAAAGTGCACAAATGTGTTTAGGAGGGGTCAATGGGAACTGCTCTAGTTCCCAGTGACACCTCTAATTTTACTAGCATCCAGAATTCAGCAAGGTGGGAGTAACATGAAGTTTTCAATGGAGATTGCCCATGGCAAATGTAGTGTTTGTACCCCAACAAAAGGAAAGTTTTATCGATCCAATATATCAGAAAAAAGAAATTCTCAGCCTTTCCATACATCAGCATACAGGTCAACTGGACATTGATTTCATTCGTATTTATGTGGGGCAGTCTGTTCCAGTGCACAAAGGATTCTCATTGTCATTGATGCCTTCCTCTTGCTCTGTTAGTAATGGATGGTCCACTTACTTCCAGATGTTCAGGTAGATGGACAGGGTTGGTAGTAGCCAACCACTACATTCCATCTGATTGAACCTTTGAATTCCAAAACTGACCCAAATTTTGTGTATGCTTGATTTGCACAAGATGAAGACTGGGCATTCTATATTTCCTTGATAGAAGTGAATGAACCAACATGAGCCACATTGGGCAAACATTCCTAATGTAAACCTTGACTTGTGTCTACAGTTCCATGGAAATTATTGCTGGTGATTGACTCATCTTGCAGAGCTGTATGACCCTTGACATACAACTTGGGTTCTTTCTATGGCTTTTTAGCCCCAGCTCAACTTAGTAAATAAGCCTATCAGGTTAAATTTCCATCATTCTTCACTAGAGAATCCCCCTCCCCCCATCATATTATTGGCATGACATTTTTAAGTCAGAGATTTGATATGCTTCAAAATTTCCACTTGTGGGTATTGAGTTCATCTTTGATATTTTGATTCAGGAACTGCTCAATATTTAAGGCATCAAGCCAAACCTCATTGAAAAACTGTTCTTTTATCTCCTTTAGGACCAAATATAGTCTTGTTGTATTTCATACAGTTTTAGATGGCCTGAAATCTCCCATAGAGAGTTATTTTAAGAGAAATTGGGCATTGCACCATTATCCCTTTCCCAGTTCTGTTTGTCTCACCTACACTTTTAGCTTGAAGTGAACCTTTAGTAATATCTGTTATATTACCTATCAGTACAGTTGCAATGCTTTTAGCATGGCAATAAGTCATCATAGCAGAAAGTGTGAAGAAACTAAAGCATTGAAAGCTTTGGTCAGTTCAGTAGTAGTAGATTTGGTGGCTAAGTAGGGTATTAGATGTTTTTATTGTATATGAGGTATGAGTTTGTGCTATCAGTGTTTATATGCTAATGCATCATATTTTCTTGAGCCTATAGCCTATATCAGCTGGTACATTTGAGCAAAATCGTAGCATTTGATTGCAGCATATCTTGAAAGTGTATATTGTGCTTCATGGAATTACTTTATGAGACATATTCCTCAGAAATTAGAACTAAATTTAGAAAATCATGTTGAAATTTTTTTTTTTATTGTTATGAAGTCTGCTGGTCAGGTCTGAAAGGGTTAACCCTTTCAAACCTGGCATCAATTCCAATGGACATTGCATTTACATTGTGTCTATAGGTTTTCATAGGATTCTCGCAACTGAGCTCCATATTACGCTACAATGGGTGCAATTATACATGGCTCAGTTCCATCAGATGCCTTCTTTCACCCATTAATTTTGTAATCTTCAGTTATTTAATTTAAATTATAATATATAATGTGATATAGTAAATTTAAACAAAATATGAAAACTACATACAGGGTGTTCATACTTAAACGCAACATAGGGAATATTTTGCTGCCTGTAGGTGGAGGTCGGGAAGTGCTACGAGGCCCGCTGGGTTGCATACCTGCAAGGAAACACACCATGGATGGGTTTCATCCTATCAGATATGCAACCCAGTGAGCTATCAGACACACCCTGAACTCCACAAGCAGGTGGAAAAAATTTCCCCATGTTGCATTTAAATACGAACACCCTGTATAAAGCATGAAAATTTCAGTTACAATCACAAAGAGCTCAAAAATGCAAAAAAGGATATTATTCTGATAATGGCCTTAATTCGTGTCTGAAGGGGTTAACAGTCCGTGTTCATGAAGCATATGTCATCTTCAATGAATATAGGAAGAAAAACTTTCATGGAATGTGAGAGCCTCAACAATTGGCCTTCATCAACCAGTGAACCTGCACTAATAAGTACAGTTTTGTTCCAAAGCTTAGTTGGGGCTCAAGTACCTGTGTTTTTTCCTTTACAGGCATTTTCATTATGTCATTATTTTTCTAATAGTTGTGCATTTCCTTCACAGACAGCTTTACACCCCCCTCGGTGTCGTGCCTTCACTGCTGGAAATAGATTGGGCACCTCTGCTTCTGCAATAAGTGTGCATGGGAGAAACAGGAGTGAGATGGAGCTGAAAAGAAAAGTACCCCATACTGACTTCATGACTGCCTATTTTTGTGCATGCATATTTCAAAATTATATATTCTTTAAAATTAATTTTGTGGGCACCTCATATTATTGAATGTATGTAAAGTGTAAAATATGTATAAAAAAATATGTAGCTGTCACTGCCACCCAATTGTTCTCAGATTGATGAAAATATAAGATGTCCATAAAGTGACTACCTTTGAATGACTTTTGCAATATTTATATCAAAGAAGCAATTTTTAAAATATATGTTAACTGAGTACATTCTGATCCTGATCCTGGAATAGTGTCATGTCTTACCTCTTATCACTTTGGCCTGACCAAGAATTAATTTCCCTGATATGGTGTTCTATAATTTTTTCATTAATTTGAATGGAAAAGAAATTGATGAAAAATTAGCCATTTGACCTTACTGCACCAATTTCTAGTAATCATCATGGCGTTGATTAAAAAATGAAGTATATTTAATGAATTCAAAATCATACAAATGAGGAGCTTGACAATATGGTTCACATCAACTGGCAATGATGGAAGTTTCACTATTGCCATCATTGCCAGTGAAAATTTTGTAACATCTGGCCCACAGCATGAGAGATATTCTTCTTAAAGTTGTTCAGATTTTGGGCTTGTCTTGCAAAAAATGCTTTTCTCTCACTTGTTTCAGAATGCTGTATGCCATATATCTGAATTGACTGAAGCATCTGCTGATTTCTTACTTACACCAGAGTTGAGGAGCAAAGATGTGACACCATTCCAAGGTCTGTCAATAAACAGACATACAAAAATAAAAAAAAGAGGAGGTTCTCCAGATTCGGTGTGAAAAAAATTGCCCATAGGTAGTTACTTTATGGACACTGTAGCTATATGATGTGCCATAGACTCCAGTCAGGGGACATTGCAGAGAAAGTTATTGATTCTGTTTGAATGTCTCTCCTGTGTCATTGTTGGGACTGGATCATGCATGCAATTGGGTCTTGTAGGAGTTATACCCAAGTATCATAAAATCATAATCATAGATAACCATTGTTTGTAAGGAAACTTTTACAAAGTACACGCACAGATAACAGGGCATCTGTGAGGATGATTTCATGCATCAGTAAGTTTGAACTGAGCACGTGTGTGAATTTGCCCACAGAGAAGTTTTGCATCATTCAATATGCAGTGAATGAACCATACTTGCAACAGCATCTGGAGTCTTGTTTCATGTCAGCCGAAATTTCAGATACATATCCCAAGGTTGATAATATTGGCATAGTCTAAGTGTACTAGGTGAAAATAAGTGATTGCAGTTTTCTGCTCCCTTGTGTCTCCTTTATCTTCTGCTAGCCTGACAAAAGAGTATGGTGAGTATTGTGGACTTCAACCACACCTGTTCGAGGCATGAAAGGCCATGGCAAGTCCTATGGAGGTGCTGGAAAATCATGAGAACCTGGATCACTGGGAAATAGAGAAATCTGCTGCCTGCATTTGCTCAGACACCAATATTTTTCTCCAGGATTGAATTCAAAAGGCCAGTTTGATTTAACCCCTTAAACCTGCATGACGCATCTACATGCATCATGGAGAAACCATGCTACCATTACACATGATGCACACAGGTTACTGGAAGTAAGTGCTCAAAGGGGGAAAAGTATCATGAGAGTAAGTAAAGTCAGTGGTAATTGCATTTAACCTCTTCAGACCCTGTGGCATGTACAAATACCAAACATTAACATGTTGAAACCCCTGCTGAAATAGCTACTTTGTTTTGGATCACACTGTAAGCCATAGAAGGATTAAAAAGAGTTCCTAAAAAACATGCATGCACCTTATTGGATTCAGTCTGCATCACACCAGGGGCTTCAACATGATGCTTCTTTGAATATGGCTGCCCATGTCATCTGCGATCACAAAAGCTATTGTCAATTGCTCATTGTTGGCCCTAAAATTATAATGCTTATTGAACTGCAGTGCCAAATAATGTGGGAAACAATTTATGCATAGAATGTCTGTCTTACAGGATGCATCAAAACATTGATGGCATGTACACATACCATGAGGAATAGCGGCAGTAAATTTGCCTTTCAATGTCCAATTACACAAAACTCCTTGATCAGCTTTGAGAGTGATATTGATTACCTGAGGATGAATATGATTTGTTCAGGCCTTCCCAGCAACTGAAAAGGCTGATGGATGAGGTTGATGAAAACGAAGGGGAAGGCCAAGACATATGGACACTGGTTGATCTAAGGGGGGAGTGCCAACTCCCCTGCGTAATTGTCTCAAGTAGATATTTACTGGCAGTCCCCTCCAGCATCTTTGCTTACCCCAGTCTCTTCTGGGATTCCATCCCCTCCTGAAAATTTTCTGGATCAGCTGCTGGACATGGGTGAGCCACATGATAGGAAAATGCCTCCAGTTTCATTACCACCAAAGGAAGCCATTTCTTGTGGTGCTGTTCACATACTGAGTAGAAAAGTGAGAACCACAGTACAGAGGGCCCAGTATTTTAGGATTACTGACCTCTTGCTCATGAGTGGGGTGGTGTCAAAGGAGAGTGAGGGGTACATCAGTATTTTGATATTATCAAGTACTACTCAACCCAAATTGCTACTTTTATCAGCACAATGACAGTGACAGGGTCTGGAAACATTAGCGAGTAACATCTCTGATTGCTAGCTTCCAATAATTTTTTTTTCCAAAATGCATATTGCCAACCATGCATCTCTAGGGAAGAAAACCTGATGCCATGTACACATGCCATTAAATTCCTCCAATACCAAGGAAGATAAAAAAATATTGGCTACATTGCTTTGCCCATCAGAGGTGGAGATAAGACAAGAAGCCTAAAGATTTCAAAATTGGCAAATAACTTTGCCATCGTGTCTGAAGATGTCAAGTAGAGGACTTAAGCAGAAGCAAAACATGATCTTTTAAAAATGAAACTCTGGTGTATGAAAAGCATGAAATTGTCTAATACCTAGTGTGTTCAAAGGGTTAAACTAGAGTTTTGAATCGAATGATGAGGGAGAATAACTTTATGTTATCTCCTGGAGGGATCTATGCTGTATGCAATTCAAACCGTGAACAGCTGGCAAAATGGTTGCAGTTCAATGCCCAGGTGTGTAATGTTAATTTTGTGCCTCTCAATGCCATTCTGTGAGGTTTAGTAAGATCCTATCATGATGAAGATCCATACAACAATGAGAGTGATTTCTTCTTTAATTGAAGTTGTAAAGGTGTTCTTTTCCTAATAATGTTTTTTTTTTTCTTACAGATCTGCAGTTGCTGGGTCTGGACTGTTCTAGTTTCCATCCCAAGTCTTGGTGCATTGAAATTCCTGCCACTCCCTGTGTTCTTCTCCAGCTATTAGACAGGATATTCTATGCTTACTAAGATAGAAATTATACATGGCACCAATCTGGTATCAGCTATTTGCAAAGGCCAACATTTGCTAAAATCTGCCATGTCATGACTTAGCATCCAATCCCTAACTCATTACCTTTATTACGTAAATGTTTAACCTGAGTATTGAGCTTGATTAGTGGCAGATAAAACAGGGTGGCCCCAAAAAAATGTACAAAAATGTACAAAAAAAATGTTTGCTATTTTGTCAATGTCTTGTAAATGTTGAAATGCTGGTGGATGCAAATTTGAGCATCTTTGGTGAACCAAAAGTGTATGAAGAGATAAAAGATTGTGTTAAGTATTAATAAATTTTTAATGCTAACATGTGATTTAAATACCTTCCATTGCACAGTTATGTGAAAGGTGGCTACATTTTTTTGGGCCACTCTGTGTACTAGTTCATGTCAACAGCCAGCCAGCTGGTGCCTTCCCTTCACCCATGCATAATCACTTCGTGGAGCAAATGTTCAGGTGCATAACCCTAATGTACAGCAGGAGTGGGTATTAGAATTTCTTCTTTTTAAGTTCTTCATCCATGGGACACTGTCATGTGTCCTATGGATAGAGGAGAAAAAATATTTGTACCACTTATGGTCAGTAGCAAAGCTGAACAGAGGGTTCTCTTTTTAACTTAAGGAAATCTTCCCAGCATATCTGAATTTTCAGAATTCTTCACAGTCCTTGAGATTCTGCATTTTCTTTGCTGGAACTAGCTTTCCCCTAATGCCTATATACTGCTATCCAACTTGATGCTTCTTAACCTTCTTAATATTTTTCTTCCATTATTTTGGCCCCCGCTTTTGTTTCTGAGATATTTCTTCAACAAATAATGGATCAGTAACAGACTCTTCCTCGGTATCACTGCAGGGGACAAGCCCATCACTGGAAAATGATTGTCCTAACTTAGAAAAAACCAAAAGTGTTTGATTAAACCAAGGGAAACCATGAGAAGTAATCTTTTAAGGCATAAACTGTAAAAAGTGTTTGCTTCCAGGAACACCTGAGAGCACATCAGAGAAGGCCAATGGTCATATAATGAATGTGAAGAAGTGTCCTCATGCATCTCATGTTATGCTCTCAGGTGCCTCTGTGGGAAAAATTGTTTACTTTGTACCATCTGTGAAGGATGTTATCATCTGAAATGCAAAGTTCTGAGAGTTTCCTTCAAAATTACACATCGCAATCAATTCAATCATGCCATGAAAATTCAGCTTTTATCTGTGCCTTCACTTTGTTTGGTCATGATTTTGATGTGAGGTAAAGTCTCATTGGATGGTGTTGACTAGCAAGAGATCTGAAAAGCTGGTGACACAAGGGGAACTGCCTAACCTGTGTCATGAACTAATCAGAAGTCTTTAGAGTGTAGTTGATCTACACTCTTCATTTCCAAGAAGGGAGGCTTCTTGAAAATGAAGATTGAACCTTGAAAATGAATGAGTTCTGGTTTTTTTTTTGGGAGGGGGGGGAACTCATGCTGAATCAACAAATCTCATGAATTGCTTTCCATGAGGTTTATTTGGATGTCATCTTATTTTTCAAAAAAAAAATCCAATAGAACCTTATTAAACAATGTGAGGGTTGTTCTGAAAGTATTGATGAAATGAATGTCATAATGCCAGAAGCTGTCTTTGTTTTTTCTTTCTTTCTATGGGATTTTCGAAGTTCCAGTGAATTTTGCATAATTTTTTGCCCAGGATTAGCAACATCATCAGTTATGATCTCAGAGACATGTATTGTGTACTGTAGACTTAGGAGCATTAGTTTCCAGAAGTTCACTCTCACCTATTTATCCATGTCAGGCTTTTTGGGACCCAGTGGACTATAATTTTTCTAGTTTTCAAATGCTTTTGCAAATTTTTTTAAATGCCAACAGTCTCCTCAAGGCAAGGTGAGTTATTTTTGGGTTATATTCAGTTACACAATTACATATCTCCACATTTGCATCAATGGCTTCAGTTTTTGGATGCCCTTCATGTGGGGTATCAAGATTGGTCTGACTACGCCGGAACCATGCAAACCAGTCATTCACCTTTTGCCTTTAGCTCCAGTGTCAAAAGCTTTAAAAAGCCTTTTGTGAAACTCATACACATTTTTTCAGAGCTTGAAACGCCAGAAGCAATTGCTTGAAAATCACAATCACAAAACCACAACTCAGAAGAGGGATAGGGCTCCCATTTTTGCAAACTTCGGGCATTCGTGCTGGGCAAAAAAATTGTGAAAATTCACTGGAACTTCTAAAACCCTATAGAAAAAAAATGGAATAAAAAGTTAGGCATTTTGACATATACAGCTTTCACTGGACTTTCAGAACAACCCTTATATAGACCCAATTCTTGAGTGCACACAAGTTGGTTTTCTTTGTTGGATTGGGGTATTTTGAGAGGGTGTTGTGTGACAGCAATCACAACCATGTGGCTTATTATTCCAGATCCAGCTCCTGATGTTCCTCATGGATTTCATAGTAGGGAGAGAGTATGGATATCCCATCTATTTGACATGGAACAACTTATCCAGCAGACCAAAACCCTGGATGCTCAGGCTTTTAAAGAGGACTGCTCTTGGATGTCCTACAAAGCAGGTGACCTCTAATCCCCAATATCTGGCATGCACTGGATCTCAAGAATGAGGCTGCTAAATTAATAAATAAATTCTGCAAGACAGCATTTATTTAACCTAAATGCTGACTTGCATTTTTTCTAGGATGGAGAGCATCGTCATCCAGAGAATCTCGTATGCATCTCTCATCACTTGTGAAGAATGTCTTGCAGGAGGGGCCCTTGACCAAGGATGATACCTTGAGCACGTTATGGTTTCTACAATGCTGATACATCTTTTGCTGAAGTGTTTAAGCTGCATGAAGAATCTCATTGGGAACTAGGCCAACTGGCAATGTGCATCTGCCAAAGAGGAGCCTATATCAAAGATACAGCTAACATATCAAAAGAAGAGTCCACTGAAAGTAATGAGCTCTTGGTGTAAAACTTTGTAAATTCTTTACTTGATGGAAACGGTATGATGTGAAGTTGAAGTACTAGGATAAGAAATCCTGTTCCTCACACTACTAGGAGGTAGAGTGTAAATGGAGTGCCAGGAACCATCAGATGATGCCCCTGAAACATCTCTCCTGAAGGAAATTATGTTATGTAGTTGCTGAAATCAATACTCAGGCCTCAGTAGCTCTCTCTTTTTGGGCTGCTCAGTAAGCATATTCATACTTGTCTGTGGCTTGCATGACTACGATTTGGTTGCAGTTGCTGTCAAAGCGCTTCTCACAACAGATGAGTAAATGAAAGCCAATGTGCCTTTATGGGTGCTAGGAAGCAGTTTTCAGTCCTCACTGTCTGGTGACTCATCCTGGCTGATAATTATTTCATAGCTTGGCATGCTGACAAGGGAAACTGCTGAAGTCATGGTAGAGATGCTAACACATTGCACCCGCTCATTTTATGCATCAACAATAGATTCGTGCTAATGATTTCTTCAGCCCATTTCTGATGACTGTGTTCAGTTCATAATGGGAATCGAAATCCATACACAGAGGAAACATTTTATGGCATGGAATGGGTAAATGTCAGACAGTGAGTGGTGTGGCTGCGACAAAATGAAGTGTCGCAAGTAGGCATTGACAGAAGTGTCACTGCTGTTTGTTGTGCATTATCTGCTTGAAATATGATGCCATGATGGAGCATGCCGTGCTATTGTCAAAGTACAGGATAAGGGCCAGTATGCTGGATTTTAATGTTGTTTCTGCTTTTGTTGGTCTCTCCATACAGGAGATAGTCTGAGACTGATGGCATGTTGATTCTAGAGTATGGTTGCCATGGCATTCCTTGCTGATGACAGGCCACAAAACCTTGGTGGTAGACTCCCTGTACAGCCCATCCAGGCCCAGAAAGGACCATTTTTAATCTACAAAGGAGCCCAAGTAGCTCGTTTGTCATCAGCCCCTTTCTTCCCTCTCCTCCAAACGTCATTCATGCCCACAGCCTAAGGGTGGGTTCAGTGGTGTCCTGCTCAAAGCAGGGAGGGTGGCCGACCACCCCGACCCAAGATACAGATCACTCAGCATGTGAATTCTCGTAGACTGTCTTACGCTAATTGCTCTTTTTACGACTCTGTTCGGTCTGTTGCTGGGCTTTGAGAGGCTTTTGACAAGTTATAAGAAACGTCACCCCATTATGGATTCATGCCAACTGGTCCTTTCTGGGACTGGATGAACTGTATTGGTTCTGGATGTAAGATGTATTCCCACATTTCATCCGTTGTGATGATCCAGTCAAAGAATTTGTCCCCATTGACAAGGAGATGTTTGAACATGTCTTCATCAATGCTGCAACTCTGTGCTATCCAAATGCCATGGAACAACTTTACTGTTGTTCATTGATCAGTTCATTAAAGATTTTATGAAACCTCATTGGTACTCAGTGTCCATCTTGCAAATTTTGACTGGTGTTGATGGACTTGCATGGCCTACCCAGACCATATCTATTCTTCACATCTCATATAANTGAAACCTCAGTGGTACTCAGTGTCCATGTTGCAAATTTTGTATGGTGTTGATGCATGGCCTACCCAGACCATATCTATTCTTCACAACTCATATAAAATGTTCAAGGAACATCCACCCATCCACATTGATACTGTCCACTTTCTTCACTTCTCAATGAAAAATTCAATGACTGCATGCCACTTTTCTTTCATGTCCATTCTTGATGACTGCTGGCTCTGCATTGCCCTTTGGCAGTGTCTGCCAGGCTGAACTTGTTCCCACCAAGTAAGGGTGGGCAGGTGGGGTTGATGCTACAGAATTGGTGCAACTATACATATCAGACAGTATATTGTTAGGTTTCCCACATACAAAATTTCTGCTACGACTCTGCCTACAGACATAATACCATATGACTTATTGATAGAATATTTCCAAGAATACACATCCACAGATGGTGATGTCACAAACATTTAAATTGAATTGGTTGTTAACTACATTAGGAAGAGTTTTCCTCCTGTAGTGTCAAAAGAGCAAGTGTGCAAAGCTTGACTGGCCTCAGTTGAAGAGGTGCTTGATCAGTCCTCCATTCTGGTCCAGGACTGCTCGCAGACACTGTTTCCATTGGTTGATTGATTTCTTTTGGGTTGTCATCAACATGAGTCCCAACTTCCTCAATTCAAGTCTTCAGTTCATCAAGTGATAATAAAAGGGTGTTTTGTCCAACATAAACTGGCTCCTTCAATTAGTTCCAGATGCTCTGGTTTAACTCTGGTTAAAGAATTTGGAAGCCACTGATTTTCTTGGATGAAGTCAGGAGTCTTCAAATACCCATGCACACATTTGGCACTATGTGAAGGAGCACTATCCTGCATGAAAATGTCATGATTTAGGCAAAACTGTCTGCATTGAGAGAGAAGATAGTTCTCCTGGAACTCCTGGTAGTTCTTTTGATTCACCTTAAGTCTTTAATTATCCAGAATTACTAATTGACTACTGCACATGGAACGAATTGAAGGATGCAAAACTGTCTGCATTGAGAGAGAAGATAGTTCTCCTGGAACTCCTGGTAGTTCTTTTGATTCACCTTAAGTCTTTAATTATCCAGAATGACTAATTGACTACTGCACATGGAACGAATTGAAGGAGTCATAAAAAGGATGTTGCATCCAGCATAAACTATCACTTGATGAACTGAAGATTTGAATTGATAAGGTGTGGCCTCTTGATGAAAACACGATATAAGACACGACACGAGAGACGTTTGTCTCATTGGCATTGGAAATGATAGAAGGGGCAGGTGAGTGGCATATTTGCTTGTGTGGCATGGATTAAAAATGAACCTAGTTTAATGCAGTTCCAAAGCTCAATATGCTCAGGAAGAGAGAGACTCCCATGCGTGCCTCACCTCCAACTGTCGGTTTGGGATGTTAAAGAACTGCAGCAGTGTGAACTGAAATAAGTTAGTGTATCCCTGGGGTAGCCATGAGGATTTGCAGGTAAAATAGTGCAGATTCATGAGACTCTTGTGACTAGTGCCCTGTTGTATCTTATTTTATATTTTCTGGAAATTTAAATTTCCAACTAAATTTTAATATTTCTTGGAAAATGCCTCACTCTTCTCAACAATTTCTTATTGTGTGGGTCCAGGTCTTCTGTTGACTTTCTTTTGAGTGACTCCATACTGCTCCTTAAGATGAGAGAACCAACTGAAAGCATCCGAAGTTATTGGGTTTACATTGCCTCAGCCTATTCCGTGGCTTTATATTGAATTGTGCTCCTATCAGAGTGTATGTCATTGCTTGTCTCAGCCGCTAATCTAAGCTAATGAGAGTGTATGTACAAGTTTATGCTTGCCTAAGCCACTTAACTAAAACGTTTTCAATATTTTTCACGATTCTCAACTCTCTTCCTGGAGCCAGGCTCTCTCTGATGAATAATTCCTTCAATCGGTTCCAGTGCAAGAAAGAGTTGAAGAGAAGAACTTAACTCCTTGGTTCCAAAGAGGAAAAACAATTGTTTCTTCTTTCTCTCCTAGCAGTGGAGAAAATGTATTACATCCAATCTTCTATGTGGGCACATCAGGAATCTTTTCATATGCCCAAAGTTTCTATTTAACTTTCATAGCATCAACAAGCACACCATAGCAAAAATGCCATAGCGCAGACAATGAAAACGAGACACACTTGTAAAAATCTCCGACACGTTCAGGATAAAGAATGTAAGAGGGAAAAAAAGAAAGAAATATCATCCTTTATAAGGCCTTCGGGGCGGAAGGGTGACCAGGCGAACAAGAGTTTCTTCCTGTTTCACCACAGTCCTTGTTGCCTTGCTGCTGGAGGAATTGTTTTGATGTCCTGCATCCAGGGCCTCGGAGCCCAGGCCGTGGTCTTTTTTCTCGCACTTTTTTGGGAAACTTTGGACTGGCATGGTGTGGTACATCACACCGTGCCAGTCCACTCAGCATTCACTATTATTCAGTCCTCCGATAAAACATGACCACTGACATTAGAGAAAGTGGCAACCATCTTCTTCTCCTCTTCACCATGGCGGGGATGTCGTCCTAATGGAGCACCCGAACTGCATATTGCCTCTTCGTTTCCTGGTCTTACTGGTAAACGTAAGCTTTGACATCGATACCTCGCCGTTGTCGATGTCAAAGCTTAATTTTGAGCGTTCTCGAAAAGTTTAGAGCCTGTACTCGCAGCATTCCTCTCGGACCCCTTTCTGCTCATCTGGCAAGTTGTGGGGGCTCCAGCAGCAAGAGATTTTACTCCTTATTCGAAAAAGTCTATGCAGGATTTCTGCAACATTCCCCAATCCGATGTTCAGGTACTCCTTTGCATCATGCTGCATGCATATCCGACCAGCTTGAATCATAGCATTCACTTTCTGGATGTTTTCTTGATGATCCCCACTGAGGGGATCATCTTCAATGCTGGTTCTTCCCCTCCTAAAAACTCGGCCAAAGCAGCACAAAACTACGGCTATGGAAGATGCTCTGTCCCAAGATGTAATAGGCAAATGGGTCCTGTGCTTAATTTGCAAAACTTATCTGGTCATAAGAGAATCACGGCGCGAAAACGCTCCCTGGTGCTAAGAGAACGCCAACATTCCTAACTATAAAAAAATGCAGAAAATGCAGTTCTTCTGGAATCATGTTGAAACTTGTTCTCAAGTTCAAAAGAACTGTTTTCAACCTGTCTAAATCAATAATCTTCGCCATCCCATTTTTGCATATCTCGTAACTTTCCGGAGCTCTTTCTGCTGTTGTTTCGTGCTCGATGCCACGCAATGGATGGAAGTTGCCCTCAGTATCCTACTTACCCGTCGTATGTTCGACATCCATATCAACTCTCCCTCTTCCAAGTTGCCTCTTGGTTCCGAGCTAGTGTGGCTCATTCGGACTGCACCTCCGTAAGATTGGGTCGGGAACGCCAGCAGGAAAAAGCACTTGTATTAACTTAACGTTAAGATGTATCAGTTTAGGATTACGCCCCACACCCCTGCTTGACATGCTAGAGTCATTTCCACTGCTTTTGGTGCCAAATGTAGCCGTGAAGAGTGTGGGCTCTCCTTGACCTTAGCAGATATGCAACATCAGTTTCGTCGTGGAAGTTGATTCAATTAACCAATGACAAGCCTCTTTGCAACGACATGGTCGGTGCTCCCAATAGGGACTACCCACCATGACTGCATAGCGGTCCTTTTATAACCTTGGTAATGTGCTGTCGCTTCGATGCTTGTCAAACTAGTTTCTCAGCTTCCACCGTTTCCACTCATTTCCCCCATCATTTAAGTCGGAACGTGCCGCCGACTCGGAACAGCGTAGTGTGGAAGAACCTTAGATGACGGATTGTGCTTTTCCGTTTAAGCTATTTCAGTACATTAGAACGTTATCTATCTCTATAAGCAAGGATCTCTGTCTCTCTGTCCATCTGACGGACACTGTTGGTTGCATTCGGACACTGTTGGAGATATCGACCTGAAACCTTCGCAGGATGGTGGGATCAGTCCAGTAGCAGGTCATAGAGCCCACCCCCCTATGGGGGCGGCTCCAAGAGTGGTCTCAGGGTCCGAAAAAAGGTGTCCAGGCTTGCTAGATTTCCCAAGCATTGCAACGATTGATTGAGAAACTTAAGAATGTAGAATTTAGAATTTTTTTCAGTGCAGTAAGAATATGTGTGAGAAAATGGAGTTTAGTTTTTCCTGTGAAATAAGAATATCATTGAGAAACTCATTTAAGTTAGATTTTTGTGAAACAAGAGCCCCTTTGATTTAAGAATTAATTTAGAACATCTAAAAAATAAGAATAAATAAATAAAATGCCCAGAGCAGTGCTCCCGTCCCTGTCGGTCTGTCCTGACTTAGACAAATAAGTACTAACAAAAAAGCACATAACAACTATATTACTACTAAAAAATATCCCGGGCAACGCCGGGTAACCCAGCTTGTTTATCCATGGTAAAGGACTATACGAATGTGGTGTATCTACCCGAATCCGTCATATCGCCATAATTAAGGATATCCGTTATGTGATTGCCACTCCAAGCAAACCAGAACAAGGTTTCAGCAATCTTGGTTCTACATTTCCTGTAGAACACAGGCTCGCAAAATGTGACAGTCAACATGACTGTCACATTTTGTGGTTTCAGCTCACAGCCTCCACTTGCATAAGTTTCACGCAATGGGATACGTCGTATGTGAGGCATTTCCAAAGGCTGTCGAATCGTCAGGGTCTCAATAAATTCTAACAACGATTCATACTTGCAGCTAGTTGATCGTGGTTTCAGTTGACACCCACCTGTTGGATGAGTTTCCCGCATTGTAATACCTTGTGAGAGTGTGATGCATTGCAAATGCTGTCGAATCTTGATGGTCTCTATATATTCTAGCAGTGATTCATACTTGCAGCTAGTTGATCGTTTTTTCATCTCACAGCCTGCAGTTGGATGAGTTTCCCGCATTGTGATACCTCGTGAGCATGTGATGCATTCCAAAAGCTGTCGAATATTGGGTGTCTCAATATATTTTAGCAGCGAATCATACTTGCAGCTAGTTGATCGTGGTTTCAGCTCATAGCTAAATGTTGGATGAGTTTCCCGCATTGTGAAACCTCGTGATAGTGTGATGCATTTCATAAAGCTGTCGAATCTTGATGGTCTCAATATATTCTAGCAGCGATTCATACTTGCAGCTAGTTGATCGTGGTTTCAGCTCACAGCCTCCAGTTGGATGAGTTTCCCGCATTGTAATACCTTGTGAGAGTGTGATGCATTGCAAATGCTGTCGGATATTGAGTGTCTCAATATATTCTAGCAGCGATTCATACTTGCAGCTAGTTGATCGTGGTTTCAGCTGACTGTTGAATGAGTTTCCCGCAATTTGATACCTCGTGAGCATGTTATGCATTTCCAAATGCTGTCGAATATTGAGTGTCTCAATATTATCTAGCAACGATTCATGCTTGCAGCTAGTTGATCGTGGTTTCAACTGATACCCACCTGTTGGATGAGTTTCCCGCATTGTGATACCTCGTGATTGTGTGGTGCATTCCAAATGCTATCGAATCTTGAGTGTCTCAATAGATTCTAGCAGCGATTCATGCTTGCTGCTAGTTGATCGTGGTTTCAGCTCACAGCCTCCAGTTGGATGAGTTTTCATAGCCTCCAGTTGGATGAGTTTCCCGCATTGTAATACCTCGTGATAGTGGGATGCATTGCAAATGCTGTCGAATCTTGATGGTCTCTATATATTCTAGCAGTGATTCATACTTGCAGCTAGTTGTTCGTAGTTTCACCTCACAGCCTGCAGTTGGATGAGTTTCCCACATTGTGATACCTTCTGAGAGTGTGATGCATTTCATAAAGCTGTCGAATCTTGATGGTCTCAATATATTCTAGCAGCGATTCATACTTGCAGCTAGTTGATCGTGGTTTCACCTCACAGCCTCCAGTTGGATGAGTTTCCCGCATTGTAATACCTCGTGATAGTGTGATGCATTCCAAATGCTGTCGAATCTTGATGGTCTCAATATATTCTAGCAGCGATTCATACTTGCAGCTAGTTGATCGTGGTTTCAGCTCACTGTTGCATGAGTTTCCCGCATTGTGCTACCTTGTCATAGTTTGATGCATTTCATAAAGATGTCAAATTGTCAGGGTCTCAATAAATTCTAACAACGATTCATACTTGCAGCTAGTTGATCGTGGTTTCAGCTCACAGCCTCCAGTTGGATGAGTTTCCCGCATTGTAATACTTCGTGATAGTGTGATGCATTGCAAATGCTGTCGAATCTTGATGCTCTCTATATATTCTAGCAGCGAGTCATACTTGCAGCTATTTGATCGAGGTTTCAGCTCACAGCCTCCAGTTGGATGAGTTTCCCGCTTTGTGATACCTCGTGATAGTGGGATGCATTTCCAAAAGTTGTCGAACATTGAGTGTCTCAATATAT